GTATATGTATATATATATATATATATATATATATATATATATATATATATATATATATATATTATATATATATATATATATATATATATATATATATATATATATATATATATATACATATGTATATACATGTATATGTATATGTTATATATGTATATATACATATATATGAAATTATTGAGAACTTAGCATAAGATTTACAGCATGCATTTCGCCACATCAATGTGTGAGGGGAGGGAGGGAATGTATAATGGGAGGGAATCATCATAGTAGTTATATATTATATATACACTCAGACATATATATGTATATATACATATATATGTATATATATTTTTATGCAAGAAAAAGATAAACTAAGTGGCAGCTTTAATAATTTAGTGAACATACTACTATATATTAATCTCTAACTAAGTAAGTGCAGAAGAAGAAAAGAGAGGCACACACACACACACACACACACACACACACACACCCATCACAACAAATTATATCGAATGAAATCTCTTTGATAAAACAAATCTCAATTTGCTGAAATGTCTTTAAATACTACGCTAAATCTACGCTATTCGTAATCTGTATCGAAGTCCACTTCCTATAATTCAAGTTGATCTTCTCTAACTTAGCTCTTCACTTAGTTACTGTTCTTGTAATCTCCTCTCGCTTCTTTTTCTTAGAATCTCTCCAGCTTTCAGTTAGTTGCTTGAGTAGAGCAATTACTATACTACCAGTGCCTTAACAAAAAGAAAACCATTCAAACAAAACAAACACTAATAGAGACACTATATTATATATTGCACATATTTTGTTTTTATTACATTCGAGCTTGTATGCCCCATTGCCCTCGCTGCTTATTACGTTCTTTGCGTGCTTGGCAATTCGTTGCGATTCAATCATTAGCCATCATACTATTATGGAGAAACTATTGTAAGTATGTTTTTGATCTGGCCCATTCCAAACGAGCACTCTTTATACAATTCCAACCACCTGTACGAATTGATCAAAGGTTTTCAACAATTTCAACACTGAATTCAAATCGATCGCGACTTAATGGGGGTTCAAAACTCCCCTGAACTTCCACTGTTAGCTTGTTTAGCGCTAAGTAGCTGTAACTTCCACACCTGTAATTAAGACCATTTGGCAAGCAACCTTTACAAAAGCCTCGCAATAGTTCGTGCTTGAATGACGGGGGCGGGGGTAGGGAAAACCTGACGACAAGCGAATTATTGATTGATCACTGCACTCCCTATAAAATTAAGTGAAGATATGGCAAAAGGGCGACTTCTTGTACTAAAAACAAACAACAAAAAATAATAATAATAATGTAAAATTCTTGTCTCAATTATCTGTTATCTCTTACAATCAGGATCTTTAACTCTTCAAGTTGTGATATATTTCCACTTCAAAATCTGTTTGAATTGGTTTCAACTTTTCAAGTCGCCCTTAGCTAATCGATGAGAAAACCTACCATGGAGCATTTTGAGCTAAAGGAACTGGCTTTAAGAATACAAAAAATATATAAATATATATTGTAAAATCGGTGAATATAAGTTATATACAATATATGAGGGCGTATAGAAATATGGACCCTTCTCAAAAAACTGACATTTTGATAAGAACTGTATTAAACAAAACAAAGAAGCAAACATAAAAGTGAAAGCAACTATTGGGCAAAAATTCGTTAAGTGTTCAACCCATACAAAACAAAGAACTTAGAGGCAAGTGTGCATATGTATAAAAAGCGATAATAATAATATGAATGAACGTGCTTAGATTTTAATATTGGTTTTTTAATTGATCCATCTAGTACCGAAACAAATCATAATACATAAGTATCCTAATGAAAGAGCCTGGTATAACATGTAGAACTTCAGGACTATGCTCAGCTTATTAATAACGAGAAAAACAAATAAAAACATGAACAATATTACATATACCCATATACATAGTACACGCATATTCGAAGATACTTAATAGACCTGCACTACAAAGCATTTGTATCACTTGGATATAGAAGAAAGCAAGTACAGCAACATTGCAGTCGGACGCCACCGACTGCCCAATACTCGTTCACGCTCCAAAAGCAGTTGAGTTGCAAACTTAATTCAATATTTTCCGAAGTAATAGATCTTATAGGGGAGGTCAACAGTGATACAACTGATAAAATAGATATCCAATTTTAAAACTGAGGAAGATACTTTTTAATAATATTCCCAGATCCTAACGGTTCAAGAGATCTGTATGTTTATCAGAAGATAATATAAATGCGAAAATGTCAAGAGACCATTTCATTTCGCAATAAAATTGCCTAAGATTTCCAGCCTGAATGGAACGGGAGGAGCCTGGAGTATGGGGCAAATGCTAAGTCGATATGCATATACATATATATTATATAGTAAAATTAATAATGAAATAAATGAAAAATATAACAGTTCTTGTACAAAGTGGCAACAAATTTATTTATTTAGCTATAATTAAATATACTGAAAAATTACTTTTTAATATTAGCTTGAAGTTCAAGGAGCAAACGCGAACGGAGGATAAATACCTAAATAAGTAATTAATAATTAAAGAGCCCAACACACACACACTAACAAAATATGATAGACAAAACAATAACATATACATATACTAAGTATGGGATATACATACAGACATATGTAAATTATACAAAATAAAATTTATTCGTATGAATAATTCACAGAACTGGTAACTCACAATAAAATTAAAAGATATAAATATGTAAATGTACTCTGCTATAAATAACAAAATTTAAATAAACCACTTTACCAATAGTACTATAATTCAAAAACTTTTGCATAATACTATAATAATGAAATAAATATAAATAAAAATTGAAAATGTTGAAGGGGTTTATTTTGAATATTGCAAAATTGTTTCAATCTAATCCAAAAACAAAAGTAAACAAATATAAATTATTAACAATTCAAATATTATCATTCGTTGACTTACTCTTAAACACACACACACGCAAACACAAGCAATTTTTATAGAGATAATACCTGAGAGGTATTGCAAAACATATTTCAGACACAGAAATACGAAATTCATATTTCATCATTCAAACACAATTTTGCTAACGAGAACTCCATTTCATTTAAGCCAATCTAATAAATGCAAGCATTATTTTTTTAACAACAATAAATATATGCAAACAAATTTATATTAAAAAAATAAATAAAAGTAAAGTAAAGCACGCCTGAGGTTCCGTATTCGATAAAATTCTATTTCAAGCTAATAATTCAAAACCAAAATGGGTGAAAATAGAAACAAAATACAAAAATTTGAAAATTATCAATCCAAATTTATATAGAATATTTTTTACGTATACAGATATATATTGTAAAAACCGATAAATTTACCATAATCGTTTGTAAATAGTTAACGATATCTGAATTTCCTTATATGTATATGGTATATTCTGAGTTCCATATGGAAATGGAAAGAAAATTGCAATCTACCCTAGGTTCGTATGGTTTCCGTTGTTTTGTTTGGAAAAAAGCTATATGAATACTAAAAGTATGATTTAAATGAGAAAAAATTGAAAAGATACGAGTATGTAGTTAAATGAATGCTAAATTGCAAATAAAACCAATTAAAATAAAACGAAACCTGAGCATTATTTATTGAAATTATTTTTGCAACTAGGTACAATCTGAAATAAATAAAGTGTTGGCCTAATCTAATCAAAAGTTCACTAGACAACATCTGATACTGATACGAGTGTTTACTTCCTTCATAAATGTTTCCTATATCAACAAATGAACTTTCCATCGGCTGACAACATCCATGACGTAGCCATACCGAGTGAGTACTGTGCCGCTTCTTAACCCATGTAACACGCAGTGGGTTAAGCTTGCTTTCGCGATGTCAAGAATATTCGCACAAGTACACGAATACATACATATATGCATGCACATGGCTACGCCATGTCGCGTATGTACATATGTGTGTGTAAGCTTGTTTACTTCATTAACTACGCTGAGCCGAGTTGCGAATATGGGTGAGCAAGGAGAGAGAGCACGCCGGTGCTGCCTCTCATCGGCTGATCGGCTGACCAGAGCTGATACCAACGCAGTTACTCAACGCTGACTGCGCAGTCACCGTCGCAATTGCTCTCCAGCCGCTTCGCCGCATATTCTCTCTCACACGCCGAATCAGTTGACTTATTAAGCTCAGTGCGACAAGTGCAGCGTGTGTGAGGAGCTCTGCGAAGTGCTTTTGTATTAGTTGATTTCAAGCCCAGCAGTGCAGTGCGTGTAAGCTCTCCAAAGTGCTTCTGTATTAGTTGTTTTTCAAGCATTTTTAAAGACTCTTGTAAATTTGCAAATATGCCCCTGAAAATAAAAAATGTTTTGGTTTGCGATGCAGTCGACAAAGCGTGTGTCCAGCTCCTAGAAGAGCATGGCATCACTGTAAGTCCATTAATAAGATACGTACATACGTACATAAGTATGTACATACATACGTATGTGTAATAAAAGTGATTATACATGTACATATGTATTGTTTATGTGGTTTCTGTTCAGGTTACATACAAGCTGAAGCTGCCGGTGGATGAGCTCTGCAAGGAAGTGAAGGTGATTATATAATACTTGCAATCATATCTGTATGTGTGTGTACTTACACATTTTAAAGTTGTATATCAAATGCCTTAACAAACAGAGACACGCTTATACATACACACATACATATATATGTATATGTATGTGGGTGTGTGCGCTAAAGGTGCTCCTCTGTCGCCAACACGTGTGGTTAACCGTATTAATTATACATACAAACATGTGTACATACATCCATACGTTGCTGTTGTCAAGCCTGTTGCACTGTGTAAATATTTCCATTGATAACGTTTGCATAAGCATTTTGCTCTTTATTAAATTTAATTCCATTTACTTCATTTACTTTCTTACTTCATAAAGAGTATTTTTACAGAGAATAGAGAATATATGTATATATAATGAAAATGAGTGTGAGTGTAGGTATGTATGTATGTATGTTAAAATGAGTGTGAGTGTAGGTATGTATGTATGTTATTACATATGTTAAATGCGTATGTTTGATCTTGTCTGTTAAAGTTTGAGAGTTTATGGACCTTGGACAATACTGAAAATGTTGCTCAATCTTCTATTGTTTCTATTGACTTATTTTAAAGCAAAAAAATTAATATAAATACTTCATGAATAGTGTACATGTATTATACATATACTATAATATTTCACCATACTTCGTTTTGTATTGTTTCTCTTATCAGCGTCGTCTTTGATGTTGTTCTGTGCGTTCAATGAACTTTGGTTTAGAAAATCATTATTGGCTAACGTCCGAGCACGCGATTCATTTGCATGCTCCAGTCTTTGGGGCTCCACTGCAAGCGGGTGGGATCAATGCGTATTTGGCTCTTCTCCATGGCAGTCCGATGCTGGTCGATGGCATCCTGACTGATGCAGATTATGTACTGACCCCTGCAGTAGGTCAGGAGATTAAGTTGCTTCAGCGTGTAGATTACGTCATCTCTTTTTATAGCCGTCTGCTCGGAAATATCATTGATGGCTGTCGAGGGTCGCACGCCCTCAGCAGCTGATTGGTTCTGCTTGATGAGCAGCTCGAGAATGGCCCGTGCCCAGAAGGAGCGATAGGAGAGCAGGCCCAGGTCGGAGAGCGGCTTCTCTGGCGATCCCGTTTTGCCCTCGTGCTTGGACAGCTCATAGCTGAACTCGATGAGCAGCTTGCCGTAGCCCTTGCGCTGGTACGGCGGCAGCGTCAGGACACAGGCCAGGTTGTACTCCTCGGCGCTGATCTTCTCCTTGGAGAAGTAGCCGACAATGTGGAAGCCACGAGAGTCGAACTCCGTCAACACGTAGAAGAGGAACGGATCAGTGTCAAAGTCGACCGTCTTGTGGTCCAAAAACAACTTGGCCAACAAGCACAAGTTCTGGGCGTACAGCTTGTTCTGGCGCCCGTCGATCTCGAAGAACGATATCGAGTCCTTCCGATAGATCTCGTTGCCAGGTGGATGCTTCAGAGTGCACTTGGTCAAGTGGCGTCCCAGGCACTGGCGACTTTTGCAATACTTCAGGCAAAATTCGCACAGGTAGATGCAGTCCTCATGGCACAGCTGCTCGGGATAGGGCGAAAAGTACCAGGGGGTAATACGATAACGGCCCAGCTCAATCATCTGCACATTCTTGATGCATGCCACAATGTCATTCGTACGCTTCAATTCACGTAACTCTAGCAGCTTACTCTTCCCCTGGTCAGCAACTGCGGCGCTCTCAATTCTATCCACCAATTTTAATTGCTTACGACCCCTGGCCCATCCTTTCGATGTAGATGCTCCAGTCTCTGGCTGATCTTTTTGCTTGATCTCCGCCTTTTTACCAATCACCGAAGAGGGACGCTGGGAGAGTACGGCGCTAGCAAGGGCGGTGTTCTGCTGGCTCGCACGGGCAGCGTTTCGCACGCAGCTCAGATCCAGATCATCCGGATTAAGCCAGTCGTCAAGGCGCCTATTGCAATTGTCGTAGTGCACGTAGAACTGACGCCGGCCTTCGTCCAGCTCCTTGATGCCAACGATCTCGGCCATGTGCCATTTGCCCGTAGTTCGCATGCGCGCCTTCAGGCGGGAGCCAACCAGGAGAGAGGCAGACGTTTGACACTTGGTTTTGGAGCTCATCGTATGCTTATCAAAGATTCGGCAATAAAACAATTAATTACGCTGTGCTAACACAATTGAGATAGTTCAAGCTGCGTACGCAGACGCTGAAACTGGTTCGAACTGGTGTGAATTCAGCGTTGCCATTCAAACCGGAAACGTTTATCAGCTAAAAGTCGTTCTAGGTGCGAATGTCAATAGCCCGCGATTACGATAAAGCTCGCTTACTCAAGTGCCATACCTAAATGGGTCACATAAATAGCTTATGGGCTGAA